GGCAAGACCGTGCGACGAGCTCCTGGGACACGTGGAACTCCTGGCAGAGCGACTGGAGCGAAGGATGGCGCGATGATCGCTGGCAGACGGGCGGCAAGCGCGGCGGAGGCCGACCCGACGATCGAGACGAAAAGAGACATCGATGGAGAGGCTGAGCTCATGCTCCACCTCCAGCGCATAGGCTCCGCGAGAACCTCACTACACACTACGTGCGGCCTTCAGCCGCCTTCCCCTCTCTTGCATCCGTGTGGCAGCCCCGCTGCCCCTCTCCCATGTCCGCGCACTTCCTGCCTTTGGATCCAAGTGCGCCGATCAGCAATACCATCTGCCTTGCTGCGTTATGGAGCGCAGCTCGCAGACCCTAGCTGGCCTCGGCCCCGCTGTAGTCTCTCTCTCCCTCTCTCTCTCTCTCTCTCTCTCTCTCTCTCTCTCTCTCTAGTGGCCTGGATGATCCTGCGTTCGGCTAAGCTGCTGGGATCGCCCGCTCCTGACGCAAGTTACACCCTGGGACATCCAACAAGATTGCGACCTTCAGTCGCGCCCTGGACGACACTCACTTGCGGCTTTCGGCCGCCTTTCCTGGCACGCGCACTTCCTACCTTTGGATACAGGTGCGCGTGCCAGTAATACCGTCCGCACGGCGTCCCGCGTGCGGATACTGGGGCCCTTGGCCTCTCTGTAGCTGTTTACACCTGCCAGGCTGAGCCTGGCGCGCGGCCGTGGCCGATCGCGGTTTTCGCGGTCCAGCCTACGCTCCTCCTTGGATTCCAAACCTAGCACAACGGCCTTCAGCCGTGCTCCTGGATCGATGTGGTTGTGAGGGACTCGTCTTTGGGTATATGGCGCCCGCCCTTCGCGCGCCTCCACGTTGGGCGTGTGGGCTTTGGCGCGAGTCACATTGAACGGCACACTCTGAGCTTGGTCCTCACCGAGTTGCCGCTGCCCCTGCTGGTCCAGTCCTGACCGTTGGGCCACTGGGCCCAGGCGCATTTCCTGTGGAAGTTCTTTACCTGCTCGCGGGGCTACAGCTCTCCACGGATATGCCTCTGATGCTGCGACGGTTCGCTGGCGCTGTCAGAGTACCTTCCTGCAGGACCGCGTCTCCAGCTCTGTCTGCTCATACCCGTCAGACTCACTGGATTGATTTTCCTGCTTGGATGTCGTTCCCTACCACTGTCGTTTTGTTACGGTCACGGTTGGAGCGCTTACGCGCCATTTTGGCTGCGTCTTAATTCTCGGTGGTAGACAGACTCCCTGGGTTTGCCACTTGCACGTCCCTGGGCGTCTTTGCAGACCCCCTGGATTGCACGCTCGCCTTGCCTTTCAGACGCCCTGGGCGCTGCCCCCCTTCGCCGCCTGATCCGCGGCCCCCGCGCGCGCTCGGGAATTTAGTCGCGGCCGCAGCCCGACCGTGACCGCCTGCCGTCGGCGCTTTCGCCTGCGGCTGTAAAAGAAAAAAAAACGTATCCCGACCAGCTCTTCGCGGGGCGCACTGACGGCTGGTCGCGCTGCTCGTGGCCTCTGCGTTCGGGCTGCCCTGCCTGGGGAACCCTTTGGCTTTCTCCGAAAAGGTCCACACTGCCCCTGCACTGGGGGGCCTTTGAATTCATTGGGGGAGGTTTCGGAGCGGCCGCAGCCCGTCCGTCTCCCGTTTTTCCTTCGCGGTGCTCATCGTGTACGCGAAGTTCGCCTGCGCATTCCACGCGGTACCCGGAGGCCGTTTACCTCCTCGGCACCGCTCACCTTGCCTTCTTGTCCGTCTCGGAAGCGGCTCCCGCTGCTCGCTGGCGGCTCTTTTCCTCGTGGAGTCCCTACTGGGTCAAGGACCGCGCGATCGGCAAGGTTACCAGGGGAACTTGGATGGGCCCTCCGATCTCTACTTCCGTCGCCGCCTTCCTGGGCCAGCGTGGCGCCCGGACTTCCACCCATCGTCGCCGCGGGGTCTCTCTTCTGGATCGGCTTCCAGCTCGGCACCTACATGGACGCGTTCCCGGCGCCGCTTAAGTGATGCCGTCCGCGCCCGTCTGGCCGCGCTGAGCTTTGCCCCGCTCTGTGCCTGACGTCGCTCGCCTCTCTGTTGTTCCCTTGGATGGTGGCACAGCCTGCCCGGCAGCCTGCCCCTGCTTGCCCGGCTTTCGACCCGCTTCGCGCGCCCGCGTACCAAAAAAGTACCCCCCACCAGCCCATCCAGAAACGATGCCCAGGGGAGTTGAGATGATCGGGGAAGTGGGGGAGCACGCGGGAGAACAAAGGGCGAACGAAACCGTCACGTACCCCAAGACGGGGAAGATAGAGGAGGAATCGTCGTCGCCAGAGGGGGGGGAGGAGGAGGAGGAGGAGGAGGAGGAGGAGGAGGAGGAGGAGGAGGAGGAAAACGATAACGAGGAGGAGGAGGATGAGGAGGAGGCGGAGGAAGAAGAGCAGGAGGAGGAGGTGGAGGAGGAGGAATAGAACATGGAGTAGGGCGAAGACGAGGAGGACGAAAAGGAACAAAAATGCGGAAAAGGAGTGTTGGGCACCTCGGGGATCCTCGTGAGTCTTCCGACGGGGCCTTTGAGAAAACAAAAACATATTGGGCGCTCCTTGCGGCTGCGCGGGCGCCTCTTGGGGCCTTCTTTGGCCATTTTGAGTATCTTGAGAACCATTTCGAGACACCGTGCGCTATCTTGACCCATCTTGGAGTTCATCTTGGAATCGCAGGGGCCGTCTTAAACCGTCTTGGGCCATCTTGGACGCTTGGAGCGTTTCGCGCCCCCCCCCGTTCAGGCCCAGAGGAGGAAGTAGGGGGGATGGAACCCCTCCCCGAAGGGGAAGAAAAAAGGGGTTGGGAGAGGAAACGCCCTAGACCACCTACGCCCGGAGGGATGGTTGGATGTGAAGACGATCGACGTGCAGCCGTTCCCGCAAAGCGGCGAGTTCAGGTTGGCACTGTTTTTGGTTGACCACGCGCTCTGGTGTAATGACGTTTCGTCCATTCGTTCGTACGTGCCACGTTTTTCGTGGTCAGCTGCTGTTTGTGGAGACCATCTGGGGTGGTTGCGCCGCGGGCGTGTCAAAGCGGTGAAGTACTTTGCGCCCCTTCGGTCCGAGCGACCGCTCCAAGCCACTTTTTGTTCTGAGGTGGTCGATCCAGTCCGTTTGGGGTAGGTTGCACGGAACCAAAAAGAGAGAAAGAGAGAGAGAGAGTGAGAGAGAGAGAGAGAGACAAAAGGGGTAATTGAGCAACAACAGCAACAACAATCAAACAAGCACACAAAATAACAAACAACGCGAGAGAGAGAGAGAAGGAGACACGAGAGAGAGAGAGAGGGAGGGAGAGAGGGACAGAGGGAGGCACCAGCGGCGCCCGGTCGCCAAGCATACAAGCACAGAGAGCGCTCGTCATGTTCCCCCCCGCGGCGGCCATTCGTCTATGTCGCCATGGGCACTCTCGCCGACTCAGCTGGACTGCTGGGCTGCATCATCGAGTGGCTGAGTGATGAGCGGCGTCGGCCTTCGCCATTGATCGTCGGTCGCTTGAGCAGCCCATCGGGCTGGGGAGGTGGTCCTGCAGGCCCACTTCCCGCGAGACGTCGGCCTCCGTCCGACACTGCTGGCCGCAAGCCCAGAGCAGGCGACCTGGCGCCGAGCTCGAGCAGGCCAGAGTGCCCTCGTCCTCCTCGCCCTCCTCGTCCTCCTCCTCCTCCTCCTCCTCCTCCTCGTGCTCCTCCTCCTCTTCCTCCTCCTCCTCCTCGTTTTCCTTCTCCTCCTCCTGCTCTTCCTCCTCCTCCTCCTTCTCATGCTCATCCTCCTGCCCCTCCTCGTCCTTCTATTCAATAATACTGGATTGACTATTTCAAGCTTGTTTTAGAGTTCCTTCATAATCCGCCTTTAGAGGACATGCCCGACCTAACCCTGTTCATCTCTCCCGTGGAGGCCGGCCCCGTCAAGAGGGGGGACATAAGTGGCCACCAGACATTGTCCATTTAGCATGCCGGGCCGCGGTGCATTGCAGGTCGCCCAGTGGGAGCGTACAGTTTTTGTGTTGCTTCAGGGCTGGACCCAAACGGTGCTTTTGGTGATTTCTTGGGCCGTTTTCGTTTCGACTTCGTGTTGCGGTAAAGGCGGGTTCGAGACAAAAGCGAGGGACAACGAAAACAAAACAAAAACGAACACACTGTTTAGGTCCAGCCCTGTTTTAGGGCGTACCGTATTTCTGCTGCTGTGTGGACAAACCATGCCCCGAGTAAAGCCAGTCGAAGATCAAAGCCGGTCGGGGCGAGGTCCGACCCGAGGCCGGTCGGGGCGAGGGCATGTATCCACCACTGCCCGACCGACACGCGTTCTCAGCGCCACGAGTCATCAGGGACACCTCGTGTCAGGGGGCTAACTCGGGTTCGTTTTTTCGGGAATCCGAGCCCGAGTTGCCCCGGGCCCGAGTTGCCCCGGATAATTCGGGCGTCCAGAGCCCCAAGTCATCAGGGGTAACTCGCTTTCGCTTTTTCGGGGAATCCGAGCCCGAGGTACCCCGGGCCCGAGATACCCAGGATAAATCGGGCGTCCGGAGCCCCAACTCATCCAGGGGTTGTTCGGGTCAGGGCTGACTCTGGTTCGTTCCATCGGGAATCCGAACCAGAGTTACGCCGGGCCCGAGTTACCCATGATAACTCGGGCGCCTAGAGCCCCAAATCATTTGGGGTAACTCGGGTCAGGGCTAATGCGTTTTTCTTTGTTGTTCGGGAATCCGAGCACGAGTTACCCCGGGCCCGAGTTATCCTTGATCACTCGGGCGTCCAGGACCCAAAGTCATCAGGGGTAACTCTGGCCAGGATTAGTTCGGCTTTTGTTGTTGTTCGGGAGTCCGGGCCCGAGCTGCGCAAGGCCCGAGTTGCCCCGGATGACTCGGGCGCCCAGCATTCAGAAGGTCGGCCTCGGTTTCTGGGCCGCTGCACCAGGGGGAGGAGGAGGAGGAGGAGGAGGAGGAGGAGGAGGAGGAGGACCAATCACGCTGGAGCCGCCAGGAGAACCTGGAGATTATCCAGCGGTCCCTGCTCAACCTGGCCCCCTTCCGGCTGGAGCATGACAGGTCGCTGGCCGAGGCGCGGCGCCGCCACCACGGTTGTGAAGTCGGACAGGAGGAATCTTTCAAAAAAAGAAGGAACAAGTAAAAACAAATAACACATACAACATAAAAATGATGGGCAACTAATAGTCTGGGGGCGATGATGTTTGGCATATGTTTGATTTGATTTGTTGTTTTTCTGGGATTTCGGACCTTTTGATTGTTTGGTTGTTCCGGGCAAAAAATTGTTCTGCCATTTTGATTTGTTGGGCATATTTCTGACCCTCTGGGATTTTCCTGCCAAGATCTGCCGGCGGAAGGAGATGCCCGACCGAACACTCGGATTCTCGGGCGCTGCACGGGCAACGGTGTTGCTTGGAGTCCAGGGGCGGGCGGGGAGACGGCAGGGGGGCGGGGCTGCGAGCTCTCGAGTCTTCGCAGGGTCGTTGAGGGCGTTCGTCCTCATGGGAGGGGGCATCTGCGGCTTCTCCGAGGTTCTTTCGGGCTCTGCCTTGCACTCTCCTCGGGGGAGCGTAAGACCCGGGTTTGCCGGGACTCGGGTTCGCCACCGTTTTTTGACGACCGCGCCTCGGATTTTGACGAGGAGGAGTTTCGTGGAATGTCCGCAGCGGGAGGCCTCGTCAAAATGCAGGCTCGGCCTCGTCATTTTTTTGGCGACCTCGTCGGGGATTTCCGAGTCCCCCGTACCCGGGTCTTACGTCTCCCCGATCATGGGAGGGGGCATCTGCGGCTTCTCCGAGGTTCTTTCGGGCTCTGCCTTGCGCTCTCCCCGCGAGCTCTCGATGCGCAGCCCCCAGGGCGCGTGCGCACAGGCCCCCCCCTTCGGGCACCGCCTCCGACGAGCGGAGGCCCTTCGGCCCGCCGCGCCACCGCGCCTGGGCTTTTGGCGAGAGGCCTCTTGGACGCTCGTCGGGATCTCGCGGGAGGTCCCTCGGGGGCCTCCTGGAGGTAGTCTGTAGGCCACTGGGGTGCTGTTTGGGGGCCTCGTGGCCCCTCTTTCTGACCTCATGGAGGCCTCTTGGAGCCCCGTCGGGGCCTCTCGGGGGCCTCTTTGGAGCCTCTTGGGCCCTCTCGAGGGCCTCTTGGGGGCCTCTCGGCCTCTTGGGGGCCTCCTGGGGGCCTCTTGGGGCCTCCTGGGGGCCTCTCGGAGCTGAGGGCTCGATCCGTGCGGATGCCCCGTCTGGGCACCTCTTGGGGCCGTCTTGGGGGCCTCTTGGGCCGCTTTGGAGGTCCCTTGAGTCGTCTTCGAGCCCTCTGGGGCGGTCTTGGGGCGCTCTTGAAGGCCTCGTGGGTCATCTTGGGGCGATCTTGCGGAGCTCTGAAGCCGTCTTGGAGCGTCGGGGAGCCGAAAAGGCGCTAACGCAACCATTCTTCAAACACCTAGGGGCAATCACTGATTTGTTGGCTTGTTGGGCCCTCTTGGGAGGCCTCCTGGGGCGTCTTGGGGGCATCGTTGGTCGTCTGGGGTCACCTCGGGTGTCTTGGACCGATGGTGCGGCGATCCGGGGCCCTCTGGGACCGTCTTGGGAGCTTTTTGGGTCCCTCTTGGCCCCCCCTTTGGGGCAGAACACAGTCACGCAAGCAGCCGCGGGGAGCCCGAGGGGGCCACGCGACCAGCCCCAGAAGCTGTTTGACTTTTGGGCCCTGGCCCCACAAGGAATCCTCACGATTGAGAACCGACGCTTCAGGGCTTGTGGAGAAGCCCCGCCAGGGGAAGCGAGGGAAAGCAGGAGGGATACGAGTCACACCGCTGCTGGCATCGGGCCAGGCATCCTTCAACAGTGGCCGACTTGGCGGCAGCCCGTGGGAGCCTCTTGGAGGCACAGTGGTGCCAGCTGGGGCTCCACGGTGACGTGTCTTTCTTCCCCACGTGATGCCCTTCTGGGCCTGTTCGGGTTCTCTTGGGGTCTTGAGAGCCTTTCGGGTGGTCTTGAGACCATTCCGGCACCCTCGACCAACAAGAGTTGTGTCCAGTCACCTGCGCAACGGCGCTCATCCTGAACCTCAGCGATCCATGGACATCGGATTTTCTGGAAGGCAAGCTCCACGGAGAAGCATTGCCATAAACATGTTGGTTCTTGCCTGGTGCATGCGGGGCCCATGTTTCTGATCACTGTGCAGTCCCTTTTGAATATCGGGCAAGTCCGCAGCATTACACGTCCAGTCGGTTTGTTGAATGCTCTCGTGCATCCTGGGGAGGGTACCCTTGGATGTTCTGTGTGTTTTGGCCTGCGGAGGGTCTCATGTTCTTGGGGGACCTTATTTCAAGAGTGAATGTGGGGTCGGGCGCAGGGTCCCAGCAGTGGTGGCTCTGTGGGCAATGCATGGGCGATGCATCCTCAATTGCTGTGCTCGGCGGGGGGACCAATTGAAGCTCCCCGCCTGCACCCATGCGCGAGACTTGAAGACAGACGAAGCAAGGAGGCGGGGGGCTGGGGAGAGGCGACGAAAGCAACGTGCGCTGAGGGCGCAAGAAGAGAGGGGCGGAATAATCGAAGGCGACGGAGTGAATGCCAACATTTGCCCAGCCAGTCTAATATGCGGAGCCACGGCAAAGGCAAAGTGTGAATTCACACCGTGGGGAAAGGCAACATGTGAATCCACATGTTGGGACAAAAGGCACATGTGAATTCCTATTTTGGAGAAAAGGGAAATTGCCAGAAATTGAATTCACATTTTGGGAAACAAGAGCATGTGAATTCAGTTTTTGGGGATCGGGAACATGTGAGGTCACACTTTAGGAGAATGGAGGGACCCGTTCCAGATCTGTCTTAGGGGTCGACAAGACATCGTTTGGGAACGTACGCGATCATCAATCGCACAACCAAGTCACACTTGCACTCCACTTCGCCACCCCACGCGCGAGATGCAAGAGCGCCCGCACGCAGGAACGGCAATGGATGGACGGCGCGTTTGCCCGCGCGGGCAACGCGCGGGCACGAACACCTGGCCCAGATAGGACCGCCAACACTGGATGCCAATCATACCCGATCAGACACATTGACTATACATTGAGCATACATTGGCCATGCAGCCCACATTGCAGACCCCCTGTTGCGGACTCCTCCTTTCACCCTCCAACTCCTTCTGGCCTATGTCCGACTGTTCGGCGGGGGGCGAGGGGGGAATGAGAAGGAGAAGGCCTTCTCGGAAGGCGGCGGGACTTCTCAGAAGCCCTCGCGCCTTCTGAGAAGTTGTTTATGTCTTCGGGGAAGGCTTAGAATTTGTTTCAAAAAACCGAGGGACTTCCGAGCCTTCTGAAAAGGCCTGCTCCTTCTCACTCCCCCCCCTCGCTCGTCGTCAAGCTGTCCATCGCAGACCTCATGCCGCCACGGAAGTGGCCGACCTCGGTGCGGCAGGCGGTTCCGTCGGGATCGACCACCTCGGGGGACGGCGGCTCGGCAAGCCGCACTGACCCCCGATACCACGAGCTCGCCGTCGCTTCTCGATGCGTTTCGGCCGTGCGTGCTCGTCGTCGTCGTCGCCCGTCGTCGTCCGTCGTCGCCGCCGCCGCCGCCGTCGTCGTCGTCGTCGTCGTCGTGCTGCGAGCGGTGATCGATGGAAGGAGCGGCGAGTGAAAGAGCGCGCCCGTGGGGCTGGGAAGGCTACGTAGGGGCCCCAGCTTCAAGCTATCTCCTCTTGTTTGCGAGGTGGGGGGCCTCCGAAGCGAACTCCCCCTCCCCCGCACCTCCTCACGTCCGGAAGCTGTGGGGGTGGGCCCTGGCTCAAAAGCCAATCCCCCCCCCCCCTCCCCCCTGCTGCGACGCCGGGGTACGCCGGGGCTCTCTTTTCCAGATGGGAGAGGGGGAGCTTCGGAGACCACCCCCCCCCTGGCTGCAAAGGTGCGTGTGTTGGGGGGGGGGGGGCGGCTTCGGAGGCCAGACCCCCCGTCCACCTTTATAGCTCTCCAGGGTGAGCTGGGGCTGCCTTTTTTCCTTCGCCCCTTTTCGAAGCCAGGGCTCCCGCTGGCCAGTGGGGGAGGGGCTTCGGACCTGCCCCGCCCGCCTCCCTTTTCTCGGGGCCAGGAGGGGCAGCCCGGGCTCCCGCCTGCAAGGCGGGGGCTTCGGGAGCTGCTTCCTCCCCAACCCAGAATTTGCACCACATCTCGTCGTCGTAGTATTCGTTGTCGTCGTCGTCGTCGTCGCGGTCGTCCTCCAAGTCGTCGTCGCCGTCATCGTCGAGGCTCTTGTCGTCGCTGTCGTAGTTGTTCTCCTTGTCGTCGTTGTCGTCGTCATCGTCCTTTCGTCGTCTTCGTCGTCCTCGCGCGTCGCCTCCAGGAATATACATTGTATCCGCTGTCTGCGTTGCCACTGAAGGTCGGCGTAGTATGTTTTCTGTCCCCCTATGTTGCCACGTGGCGAGTGGAAAATAACATAGTTTGTTCGCCCCCCGGCGCCCCCATGTGACGAGCAGGGCAACCTGTCATCACTTCCTGCCCTCTCTGGCATCATGCGACGAGCACTGTCGACGATGTCAAGCAGAGTACAACGTCATTTGTTTACAGGATGCTTCTGGCGCCACGCGACGAGTGCAGTCGACCATCGAGGGTCCTAACGAATTCCCTCCGTATCCCGACAGATCCTTGAGGTTTCTGGGGAGGGGTCTGTGGGGCTACGGCTGGAAGTGTGTGTAAAGGGGGAGGTGGGAGGGCTTTCGGGCCGGGGAGGTCAAAGGGAGAGGGAGGGCAGCTCGTCGTCGTCGTCGTCGTCGTCGTCGTCGTCGTCGTCGTCGTCGTCGTCGTCGTCGTCGGTGGCCCGCGGGCGCGCAAGGCGCGCAGGCGGGCGCGCGGGGGGGGGGGGGGGCAGGCTTCCTCCGCCGCCTCCGCCTCCTCCTCCTCCGCCTCCTCCTCCCTCCTGCCTCCGCCCTCCTCCCTCCTCCTCCCTCCCTTGCTCCCTCCTCCCTCCTCCTCCTCCTCCTCCTCCTCTTGCTTCTTTTCCTCCTCCTCCTCCCCCTCTTCATCAAATGGTTTGCTGTCCTCCTCTGGCGAGCGGGCGGGCGGGCGGGCGCGCAGGCGGG